TGGCCAAAATTTCTATATGAAAAATAGTTTTGCTGTACAAGCAGTGGGCTTTTTTTCTTAAACATTCCCTACAAATATGAAAAAGTTATTCAGACGTGATCTGACAGTAAAATAGCTTATCATGATTCTATTCATATTGCAAAAGCTGTGTCAAATAAGAATACGTAAGAGAACCGAGATTCCAGGCCCATGTGAATCCAAATAAAGAGACCTGTTCTGAGAATAAAACCTCCAATATTGATAACATGTTTAGCAGAAGCGTAACCTGCAATCTGGAGTGCATTAGAAATAGTTTGACCCCATTCTTGAAATTTATATGCATTGAAAATGGACTGAGATAAAACCAGAGGGCGCAGAATCTTGGTAATCACATCTAAGATTCAAATAAAAAAGACATTAGAAGAGTTTAAACTCAGTTTCGCAAAATGGTAGTGTTGTCATTTTTATCATTTGTCGCACTCTCAGCTGGAGTCCTTCTAGGAGATGTGGGTCTGATGGTCCTTTTCAGTCTGCAATCTAGTTCATTCAACTCCCTTAATCCAGTGACGAGCTGTATCTTATCTCCCTGACTCACTGATTTCCTTCGGCCACTATCAACGGATCCATATTATTCGAGCCTACCTTCCCCATAATGTGTCAAGCGTTTGATATTATGTATACTGTATCTTCACCAAACAGACCTTCTGAAGCTGAATGATATACTAAATTAACATTGAAACTCTTTTTGTCTTATTTCGACTTGTACCATGGGCAGCTTTCAATCAGATTTTTATACCACAAACCAGTTCTATGATAAAACCCATATAAGCTGAGCCAATTGTCCCTGGTCTCCACTGAAGGTTAAGACAAAGATAATCACTATAGGTTACATGTTTAGGGGTCAGTATAACTAAGACCATAAATAAAAGTAATTGGCAAGATCTATAAAAGTAAGTTAATGATTAAGCTTAGATCTTAAGTGTATTTATACAGAAAGGCCTAACTAATTAAGGCTAACCATATGTAAGGCCTTGAAACAGAAGCTTCGAAAATGTAGCAATCAAATAATAAATGTGAAGACATAAAGTATGAAAATTTTTTATACAGTGCCTAAAATGGGGAAAATTGAAGTCAAGGATATGTGAAATTCAATGAAATTGTGAGGCTTACTTAAGTAAATGTGGAAACATTTTACCATCAGTCCCAAAGCATCTTATGCGACTTAGGGTGACTTAAAGATCTATAGATAGTCTCGAAGCCAATTTATTATGAATATGCAGCAAGTCATAATAATTGGCAATAAAGGTTAAAAATTTCTAAATAACTAGTCTCCTCATGTCCAAGACAATACAGCTAATTCTCACGAAAAATATATTAAAACGACGTTATAGACTACTCCTGTTTAGATGTTAGTCTAAAGTGGCTATAGTTATTCGGGATGCATCAATAAAATGTATTATTGAGAAAATAATAGACAACCCCATTTAAAGTAGCCCCGCAATAAGTTACTATTGAAATTGATCCCTAAACTATGACCCTCAGATAAAATAAATAAAAGCCAAATTACTCATCGACTCCCAGCCTAAGAAAATTAACGAGATACAACAAATATTAAAAAATAATAGCGTTATAAAGATCCAGTAAATGGAAGGGAAGACCAAAGATGAACAGTAATAGGGAGAATTCGTACATATGTGTATATAGAAGTCATGGAAATAGTATGGTACATATCTAAAATCGCTTCTTTGTCTCTGCAAGAAAACGTCTACTGTGGTTATCAAATGCGCTTTTGCGTCTCGGTTTACCTCGATGACCAAGTGATTTGTGTGGACCCTTGTGTCGTGCAACATTTAAGGAGTTCAAAGGCTCACTAAAGTCGAGAATCTGCCGACTTGTTTCCCCGCGGAGTTGCGAATTGCTGACGCCAGATGTACAGCCATTCAAAGAACCTCGATTCTCAGAACCTTTTCGAATAAGCAAGTTCTGAGATTCACCCTCTTTAACAGGAATCAATCCACCGCCAGTACCTGAGCCACCGGGTTTATGAATACTATTTTCCTCATTAATAACGTTGCTACCGTCGTGATCGGTGGTCCTAGTTCTATTACCAAATTCACGATCATCACGGGAGGATAGAACAGCTTTTCGTTTCCTCGGATAGCCTCTACGACTACCAATACCGTTGCGAACTGATGCTGGGGGTTGTCGCTGATTAGATGGCTCCTGTAGGTTGTTGCTTTTAGAAGAATAAGTTGAGTCGGGAAAAAACTCACCATTTGGTGGCAAAGATTGAGGCGGTGGCCAGTCTGGCTGAAGATGTACTCGGCCGAGACGGAAAGCCTAGCCAAGCGTGAAGGAAGAATATAAACTCATTACCAACGATCACCGGCAATAAATATGTATGCCGTTATAAAAAAAGTAATAATTAATGCTATGATAAAAATGTCTAAAAATAAATGTAATGGATCTGTGTTCACATAGCAAGATATGTAAAAGGCCAGCTCTTTCTGGATATGCTTCCTCTCTATGTGTGGAAGGATAACAGTTGCTCCACGCATTTCGTAGACGATTTTAAAGCCAGCAGTTTGGAGCAAAAATATACTTCTTCAGAGAAGTAAGGGTAAAGAATGGGTAAAGTAGGGTAGCCAACTTTGAATTGGATAAATGAAAATGCACGCTAAATGTCTCGTAGCTGATTCGACAGCGCTCATTCTTAATTGGATAAGTAAATATAAACGTGCACGAAAAAAGGTATATTTTGATGAGAACAAGAAAGGAACAAAGTATTTGATAAAGTTATACTGGACGTCTAGCGAAAAAAATCGGAAGATTTCCTTTGTTTAATAAATTGGATAATTTGATGACTCAACAATCTAAGATACTTTAGATCTTGTCATAAGGTAGGCTTTATGACAATATTATATAAAAGATATTTCGATTGGCAAAGGGAAATGTGAAATTTGAACATCATCAAGTAATAATAAATAAAATGGACTCAAACTATGGGAACAAAAAAGGTGAAAAAGTGACCAGACTCTTATAAACATTTGGTGAGTCAATATCATTACAAAGGCCACGGTGATAACGGGGAAAAATTAAGCGCAATTACGTGCAGGTGCCAAAGCAATTACTTTCATTGCACTATAAAATCTAATATATAAAAACCAGGAAAGTGATGGCGATTTGTCTACGTAAACAAACAGATATAAGAGATGAATTCGCCCGAGTTCGTTAAAAGTTATAAAGTATTGTCAGTTGCATTTTCTCACAATGACATGAGTAGGTCTCTTTTTTTCATAGAATTTAATATAACCTTGCTTCCCAAAAGTCATTCTCATCTAGAATGGACTGCAGTTTAGACCTCACCTAGGTCTCATCAGCACCCTAGGGAGGATTCGATCCCAGGTCGTGGTAATGCAGTGTAGTCTCTAAACATTAACGACTATGCCACACTACTACGAGGGTACTTTGGTTATCGAGGGAGGCCAGGCGTTACCAATATCCCTTTCTGTAGTGGGATTTTCAATCGAGCAGTGGCAAACATTTCAGTTCGTTTAAAAATGCAAGTGAAAAGGATTCGTAAATTGGCCTCATCTGATACCGAATGAGGGTCGCCATGGACTTATGACTGTTGGATTGTGCCCATAAAACTTCGACTCACCATCCTGCCACCCTAATAGGCCCGTGCTAATCTCTTATCCGTCATTAGAATGACATCGTCACAGCCAGAAACAATTAGTCACGAACAGTAATTTAAAAAGTAAGCCAAGAAATGTGACAAGCTGAAGTTCTACCTGCTTTTTATACCCAACTCTGTGATCAGGACAGTAGTCTGGGTAGTTTGGATAAAGAGTTATCTAATTCTCAGTTTTATAAAATGTCATCGCCCACTTAATTCAAAAAATAATTCTCAGTTTGTCCTAAATACTGGCTTCCTCTCATCCCATTTCTTAGCATTTCAAAATTATTAACAATTAACCCTAACGAACCCTTGCTTTCTACAAAGCTTTTTCATATCCTTCTTAACTCTTTATCCTGGCGATTTAGGTCTGCTAGATGCAAGCCCCTTACTACCATTGATTTAATAACGACCTGCCTAAACAGCATTGGTATACCTTGAGACGAAATTAAGAGGGAAATTGGTATTTGTGGATTTCCTATATATATCCATATCCAGATTGTTCCCTTCTTTAATAACTAGGACATAAAAAGGAAAGCTTACTATCCTTTCTAACCCCATCGTGAATTCAGTCATCTAATCAATTTATTAACCTAAGGAAATCTACCAGACTAAAGAAGAAAAGTAGGAGAGTAAAGTAATCGTCTATATATCTTACTAATAATTTCGGAACTAAGAGTGCCTCTCGACTGATCCAAGTAGCTAATAGACAAAGTGGATGCAAACACGATCCCATATAAAAACCTCCGCTGTGTAGGCTCACTGAC